TTAATCATTTATTTTTTTCACTTTTAATTATTAAAATTTATCATATTTTTTAGATAAAAAAAATAAAGTTAAACCCCCAACTTTGATCCTTCAACTTTCGTACAGACCCAAGTGAACCTCTCAACTTAAAACATCTATACTTTAGTCCCTAAAATTTGATATTTTAAGCCCCACTTAGTCCCAACTTAAAAAAATTTTGCTTGTGTCATGTTACTTACAGGGAGGACAACAGGAGGTCACAACATTAATACATGTATGAAGACAACATGGCATCCTAAAGGAGTTACTCAATGGTTAAGAGTTTTAGATTTCAAATTAAAAATTTTATGTTCAGACCTTGAATCAAATTAAGAGGATTTAGAGAAAGGGAAAGACTATTCCCTCTTATATAGTCAACTTAGATAATACCAAAAAAAGGAAGATAACATGGCAAATAAATAATAATGTGGCATAAAAAAAAAACTTAAAAAATTCACTTTTCTTTCTTTTCTTTTCTTTTTTTTTTCTTCTTCCTCTTTCACCCAAGTTTTTAACCTATAATAAAAAAAAATAGTAATAATTACTAAATATATAAAAATTAAAAACTCAAAAAAATTCAAAACCATACTAAACCTACCCTCAACTTTTTAACCACCGAACTTCCCTATGAGACAAAAATAATCCACATTGATACAGCTTATCTTAACACAAACCATCTATTCTCTGACTTCTGTTTTCATCTTTTCTTTTCCCCCAAAAGATTTCTACATTTCCAGCAAAAAATTGTGATCATGATGATGGTTTTTGCATTGATATCAGGGGAAGATTTTGAAAAATGAATTCGGAAATGGATTTAAGATGGTTTCAAGAAATGAAGTGGACGAGAGAACAACCAGGTAAAATCTGCAGTATAGTCTGTCTAGAATTTTCAGTTCCACAAACAACCCCCTCATGAGTCATGACCAAGGAAAGGCTAAGATAAAATACTGAGTGACTCAGGTACGGTCCACACCATAAATCTATCAGAACTGAAGTTACATGATTTGTAAGGCCAAATTGCACAAACAATTTGCATATGATGCTACAAAAATACAACACTGACCACACAACATTCTTTGTTCATTGATTAAACTCATATTGGAAGAGAGGACGACAATAGTTCTAACACACATGTTGAACAAGAGACACACAATTATGGCATAGGAACTTCTGCACTGATTTACCTATTGAAATGTAGGATAATCTATCAGATTAGATAACACTCAGAATGCAGGAATGACAACACAATTTAATGGGCTAACTTCTTGAGGTGTTGGAATATTTTCTGCTTAACCCACTGTCTGTCGTAAGGCAAATAGGCTCGAACAGAGTGATCATATCTGCAATTAACAAGATAATATATATATCAGTTAACTCCCTCCAGAGTCATAGCTTGCAGAATCATTCTTGAAAGTATGGTATTTGGACCAATTAACAGGTAGAAGCTCAGCATAACGCAATACATGAACAAGCAGTCTAGATACATGCAATGCTACACAAACATTGCAGAATAGGGTCTCATTGGCATAGACAGCTAAAGTCAACTCTATTTCAATTAAATGTCAGATTGTGAGACATCCTTGGTTCCTTGAACTCAATAATATCCAATGTATACGTACAGTACACACTGTATTGCGGCCAGTTATTTCCTTCTACAGGGGCATAGGCTAGGATAACTCACACCATGATATAAGCCTTCTGCCATGGAATCAATAAAAATACTATTACTATGGGAAAAATTGGGTAAAACTCATCCATAACCATGTTAGATTTTTCAAATGGCATAGAGATTCTCCATAGTAACCAGTGCAACTCTTTTAATTTTCCTAATGGTCTAATCTTGCTGGCCATATCTTTTGTTCACACACCAAATATCTATATAGACACATCTGGTATAATCAGATAAAGAGTATGGTACATACTATATGGAATCTATCAAAAAAGAGAAACAGGAAGGGGATACATACACAAGAGCACTCATGTCCACAAGACCGTCAATGAAATTATAGAGATCTGCAATGTCATATGAGATGTTTCTTGAGGCTGGATTTAATTCCTTCAGCTTCCTTTCATACAGTCCACATATACCTGTAAATGACCAAAAGCACCTAACGTATTCTTTCAAAGAGGATAGAGGGGAAGAGCAATCCCAACCAGAATATGGTGTTGAAACCACTCAGGTTGATCCAGAAAAGCAAATTATCCTCTTATCACCAAGTTCTAACCAATAAATATGCAAATACATCTAAATCAGATAAAAATAACATCTGTACAATGGAAAGAAAGGGAGGAGAGAACAGGGAGTTAGAAAGTATCTCACTGCTCTTGCTTTGAACAATCTATGTGCAGTGAGTATGATATATAATAACATATGTTGCTTAAGCATTGAACTGAAACTCTAGCAGCATACCACTGCTCTAGGTTTGGTTCCAACAAAATAGCATAGCAAACTAGGCGCCTTTCCTGTTCAATTAAATTTTTAAGCAGTTGTAGGGAGATAAAAGATGAATAAGAAGCTTTAGTTTCATGATTAAGCATTGGTGGAAGTTTAAAGAACCACGACCCCTGGTTTCAAGTACCTATACCCATTACAATGAAACAACGACTGTGGTCAAGTTATGACTTATGAGCCAGCTCACCACCAACAACAACACTAACACCCAACATCTTCAACCAATTAATAATTTCATCCCTGCAATGGGTTTAAGTTTACCGTGCATCATGATATCAATAACCAAATAACACCACTCTATACCAACACCAGCATTACCCACCTATGAAAAATTAAAGCCAACACCATTTTCTATGCTAAAAAAAAAGAAGCTCAAATTAATGTAAGTTCACATGCCAGCTTCATATTAACCTAATGAAGCAATCCACTGACCCTAAAACCAGCTCTCATCAATAAAGGCTTTGGACGCCTCGATACTTTCCTGAAGTGCAAGAGTTTCTTAATAACATCAACTAAAAACTGCAGAACAATAATTAATAAAACCAAAATAAAAGATGAAAATCATCCACATATTAGCATCAACAGGACATAAATATCATACCATCCATTGCTTGAGTTATTGAATCATAATCCATAAAAGTTCTAGTTGCTCTGCTGGGCGCAGTTTGCATCAAAACAATGGTGTGCTTGTTGGCCTGTATACCAATGATTCATGACAAAATTAATTTCGACAAAAACAGGAAAAAAAAAATTCGAAAATATAATCCTAAATCACGAACTAACAAGCCTAAAACATTCTGATTTTCCTGTACTGCAAAAATCAAAAGAAAAGTTCAAAATCCCTAATATTTTAACAAATTTGAAAGCTTCAGTAGGGGGGAAAAAAAAAAAAAAACACCCTAAATTTCTGCGATAAACGTAAAATAGCGAGATAGGCAAAGATTGCGAAAGAGAAAATAAAAACAAATTTTATAAAATAAAATAAAAAGGAAGAAGAAGAAGAAGAAGAAGAAGAAGAAGATTACCATGGAAGGAGTGATATTTGCTTAGAGTTGAAGGCGAAGACAGAATAAGTTGACGAAAGTGAAACAAAAAACCAGTGTTCAGAAAATGATTAAAAAGGAACAAATTAAAGAAAAAAAAAAGGGAAAAAGAAAAAGGAGGGAATAAAGATGAATTGCCACGTTAATCTATTGGTCAACGTCAACGTCAAGAGTCTGTTGTTAGGGGTCCCACGCGGTACAACATATGCCTAAGTTTTTATGGGATTTTTTTTGAAAATAGGCAATGGTTATGGGATTAATTGCACTAAATATTTGTTTGGAGAAAAATTAATAAAGGAAAGAGAACGAAGGAAAGGGGAACTGAAAGAAGAAGTAAAGAGAAAGAAGGAAAAGTAAAGGGAAATAAAGGATACAAATTAATTTTGTTAAAAAAAAAGGTAAAGAAAAGAAAA